GACCATAGTTAACAGTAGTCTGGGCAGAGAATGTAGATATATTTTACATTCTCTGGTCTGGGGAAATAACAAACAATGATGCTAACGCCAATTTCCCTGACACGACTTCCTAAAATAAAAGCATTATGGAATTAAATGCATAAACAATTGGGTTTTCTCTATAATGCTTCTGACTTTACGAAAAAACCATTTTCATAATAATTAAATATGTAATAAACACCAAACCGAGTGATTTCATATAATTTATCATATAAAGGAAGGCAACATTGTTACAAAGTGACAGTCATCTTCCATGTAAATTTTGACATTATTTTTCATTGTTGTAATTTGTCGAGCTTTGTTTTCAATTGTTAACAATTAGACCATATATTAGCAGTTTTTAATAGTAAAGAAGTTTAATTTCAAATTGTTTATTAACACACATCAAACCAATTGAAATGGAGGTCGACGAGGAAGATTTCGAGGTACCAACTTCAAGTAGCAAAGGCGAAAAGAAGCGTTTCGATGTGAAAAAGGTAAGCACGGACATCTCATTCTCAAGTTTTACAGTTAACAAAAAATACACCTTTTTTAATTTATAGTGGAATGCCGTCGCTTTATGGGCCTGGGGTATGCATAATATAGCCAAATTTACTTATTATATTATACGTAGTCATTTGCTTTATGACTACATAACCTTACTGAAGCCCTTGTAAACACTGAAGAATGCTCAAAATACTTTTGGTAAAATTGTGGATTTTTTCTATTTCTAGATATTGTTGTAGACAATTGCGCTATTTGTCGTAACCATATAATGGATTTGTGTATAGAATGTCAGGCCAATCAGGCGTCTGCTACCAGCGAGGAATGTACTGTTGCGTGGGGCGTCTGCAATCATGCTTTTCATTTTCATTGCATCTCACGTTGGTTAAAAACCCGACAGGTGTGTCCATTGGACAACAGGGAATGGGAGTTCCAGAAATATGGCCACTAAGCGTCGTTAGGAGTTTCCAAGCGGTAATTGAGGGATCTTGCTCTTTTTTTATTTCATCTTCAATAAAGGCGCTATTCAAATCGTCTACATATAATTTATAACGCGTTTGCTATTAAACTGCAGTATTTTTGGTTTAACGCTAATTAATAACTTATAACTAGTTTGTCAAAATGATTGCAAAATAAATGAATTTGATACAAAAGTATAAAAAGTATGTTATATGTTTTTGATTGAAGATTCTCATCGCACAAAGTCAGCAGTAACTTTCGGTCTCTCTCAGGTCGCAACGGCGTAAATCAAGTAGTTAGCCCGATAACCGCACCTGAAACTGTGGAATTTTGCCCACTACCTTTTCTCATCAAGAAGCTGCTCATTTGTCGGAATCGCTGTTATGGGACCACTATAGCAAATAGCTGTCATACAAACTGAACAATCAATGACAACTTCTTGTATGGAAAACTTTTTTAATTGAAGAGATATCTTTGAAATTTGGCATGGAGTGTTATCTCCTTTTCCGATTAAACGTTAGCCATGGGTCGTGTTAGAACTAAAACAGTTAAGAAGGCCGCAAAGGTCATTA